CCCTGGCAGAGATTTTCTAGCCAGTGCTCCTTAATAATTGAAATCTTTTTGATTAACAATGCTGACTCACAAGTCCTGGTAGCTGCACAATTCAGATCAATATTTTTTGTACCTTGCGGTATTCTGGCATTGCCAGTCTTCCTACTTGAAGAGAAGTACTGCGTGATTCGCATGCTTGAGTTCCTGTAGGAATGTGCAGCTGACTGTTGTCAGGTACAAGAGAGAGACTCGCTGACCCTTGCACTGACCAAGTACGACTGCCCTGCTCCTGCCCTGCCTGCTCACATGAATCTTTACTGATTGAAGACAGTTGTGTTTGCATTGTTGTTGGTTTTTTTAACCTCTGCTCAGGAATCGACTTTTTCTAGTGTATAAAATACTTCTGCTGTTAGGCTTCCATGTGAGAGTTGTTTGAAAATGGTTTTCGTGTTTGTTTCATATGATTCTATCCGTGGCTGCGCGCGTGTGTGTGCACTGAATCATAAGCCTTGTAGTTCTCGGTGTTGCCATAAAATGTTCTGCTTGGAGCTGCTGGAAAAGCGTTTCCCTGTTCCTGAAATGCTTTCTCCCTAGACGTGCAAGGGTGCGATGGCATGCGGAGCACCGGGGCACGCAGATGTGAATGGTTCTGGGTCGTGCCAGGAGCAGGGAGTTTGGGGAAACCCTGGCGGTGCTATCGGCAGGCTTTGCCTAACAGATGTGGGTGCTCTGTGCTGCTTTTACCGGTGTGTTAACTGAAGTTGCTAAGCTTTGGCAGTTTATCGGTAGCTTGCCTTGCAATTTAAAATTATGGTGGTGTTTAATGTAAAGCGATGATCAAGCAGAGCTTAAAGGGTGAGAACGTTTTGTAGTTAGGTCTTTAAAAATACACTATGTATGTGTTGTCTCGTGTACTGTAAACTAAGTTATTTTTAATTCCTTTTGTTTTGGGTGCTGGAACAATGCTTTCTCAGAATGGCTAGATTTTAGTAAGCATTTCAGGTGATGTTTAAAAAACGTCTGAAATAGATAAAACATCTGGTTTTGAAAGACAAGATGACAGAGTAAAATGGTTACAGAAATACCACTGATACGAAGGAGCAGAGCTAAAGAACCCAATCCATAGCAGAGCCTCTTCCTCTGTACAGCTGGGTATGTAACTGCTCCAGCACGTCCCCTCTTCCCGTTGCCTTCCCAGCCAGTGATCCTCCTGGATCCAGGATGTGGGGTTTCTTACTTCGCTTTAAATAATGAGGAGCTAGATACATAGCCCCGGGCTCCAGGTAGTGTTAACAGGTATCTGAACAGTGGTCCGTTCAGAAAGAAATACCTGTTTAAGAATGTAGCAAAACTCGTCTGTAACAGGCAGATCAAAGACTCTGTAAACACAAATTAAAAAAAAAAAAAGTGAGGTAAAGTGGGTCAGATGCATGACACAGTTTTGAGATAAGCTGTTGATAAGCCACTGCTGCAAATATTTGTCTTTGAAACAGTTACAAGAGGGTGGTTGACCCAGAAGGGAGCCTGGGGTGGCTCCGTGGTTGAGGTCTGAGCTGTGGCGTCACGGCTGGTCGTCCTCCAGCGAGCACTGGACAAGGTGTGCATCGGCTAATGGCAGAAGCTTTTCAACATGTTCCTTAAAAACGCGGAGGCAGTTGATGAACTGGAAAATATTTCTACCTCATTATAGCTTGAGCAAGGACAAGTAAAAAAAAATTGTGCATTCTGGGGTTAGGCTGAGATGGGAGGTGCAGCAAGAAACTTTCTCTTAACGTAGGAGCCAGTGATGCTCATTTTCTTTTTCTTTCCGAATGAGTTGGATATGCATTCAGCTTACACGTGTTCCTTGCAGAGTCTTACAACCTGCGCAGAGATCTGAGCGCCTTTGGGCTGGGTTTTCCCACAAATGACAAGCAGTGACCATCTACATGGCAGGTAGCAACAGGGGAGCAGAACAGACAAAAATTGTGCACCAGCTAGATACAGAGGATGCCACAGCAGAGTTAATGGCTAAATAAGAAAGCAAAAATCCCAGCTCTACCTTTGCCTCACAGCTGAAAACCTTTCCCTTGAGGCTGCAGGATGGTCATTTCAGCCTGTCCATAGGATTAGGGAATAGTTGTTTTTGATTTTACCTCTTTTTCTGCTTACAGAAAACAAACTCCAGCTCTAGACTCTTGTTCAGTTCCTGAAGTTTAGCTCTTGCAATCTAAATTAGACCTGCCCAGGGTGTTTGAGAGGTCAGTGCTCTTGGAGGCTGCAGTGGAAACTTGTTTGGAGAGAACTGGGGAGAGCTGGAACAATGTCAGATTGTGCTGGGAAAAGCTGCTTCATGTGGGATGTCTTCAAGGAGCAATTACAAAAATAAGATAGAGCAGAGCAGCGAGCGGATGATAAATACAAATGTGTTCCAGCATCTCAAGATGTAAAGCTTTTCTATTAGAAGTTCGCATGGAGAACGGTAATTTAAAACAGCTTGTAGCTATGTTTTAAATTTTAATGTTGATGAGTTGGAGATAGCTTTTAAAAAAAAGAATTATATATTTTTACAACCATAGAAAAACTTCTGGCCTGTCAGAAGGGTGTGCAGGCATCTAGGTCTTGCTCTTTCTCCCCTTCTTATGGCTGCCTGATAGGGGAGGTGGTGTGATTTGTGTACAGAATGTGTGTTTTAAGGCTACCTGCTGAAATCCCGTTGAACTAAGAGGTGCTGTTCCAGGACTGACTGAGAACAAACATGAGATTAGACGCTACAGCTTTTCATCCTTCTCTGAGAAATGTTGTTTTCACATGTTGTGTGAAATGAACTTATTGCCTTAACTGACCTGTGAAATTGTTTCATATAAGCAGTTACACCTTGCAGTAAACTTAAACTCAGTTTTAGTCCACTCAGCATCGTGTTCTTGCCTCGCAAACCATTGAATAGATCAGGTTTTGACTAATTCTGTTTATCATCCTGAGGTTAGATTTGGCAAGCAACATCCATAACCTGCCACCATGAAAAATTATTTCCAACATGTTCTTCATTAAACTTTTCTTCGATATTTGGCTATCACTGGAGGATTACAGTTTTCTGCTGAAGAACTAAAAAAAAAATTGCAATGAAAATTAACTGTCAATAGTTCTGTATTAAAATCCCTTGAAGTATCAAGGTGTGCAAGTTGTTTTGATTTACATGTGTGTCTGTTTAGCAGTACATGAATAGAAAATAGAAGTTCTTTCCTTGCTAGCTTGCTGAAAAGTATGCAACCCACACTGACAACAGGAAAGGATAGAAAGAATTTGTTTTTAAACATCAGTTGAATGAAAGCTGAACTGATGTTTCCCCTGTCTTTCAGGGGATATTTTCATACATCTTAGTTCCAAAGTACCCTCTGTTTTATTAGAGAAGGAGTCTAGTTTAAGCTTGAAAAAAATATCGTATCATTGTATCGTATGCCTTTAATTCAGATGGATCTTGGAGACTCTTAACAGTATATCACACAAACTAGCTTAACCTTCAGTATTGCATATCACTAAATGTAATCTGCCCATCAAGAGGCTTTGTGTGCTGATCCTGCAAAAGGTAAAACCAGAAAACAAAAAAATAATGCAGTACTCAGTTTAAGCTGCTGTGGAAATTTGAGCAGGCAGCATGTTCTGAGGAATTAATTTTGGATAAAGGCTAATCTGCCACCTGCCTCTGCGGTTGCTGGAAAGAGGGGCTGCTCCTGCTAGCAGCTCTAAGCAGCGTCCTGATATAGGTAGTACAAAATGCTGTCTGGAAGGGAACCCAAGTCCCTGTCCTCTAACTGTGCAGGGAACCTGATAAGAGTAAATGCCTCTACCTGCAGTTAATCTATGTGAATTCCTACAGTTAATCGTGTAATAAATTTGGCTACTCTGTCAGCTTGCATCTGTTGCTCTGGGCCATTAACAAGAGATCAGGATCTAGTTGCAAAAATAACATGGAGGAGTTCGTGCCTATAAAATATTTTTTCTGTTGTTACCACTGAAGAGCAAAATTACAGAGAGAACTTCAGGTGGGTTGGTTGTACGTGTGCTTGAGAAACAGTACCGTATTTTTAAGAGACACTCTATCCTTGATAAAAAATCTCGTCTGCTTGATCAGAATAAAATGTTCGTGTTTCTACATCAGGAACAAGCAGAGCATTTATGGCATTCAGTGGCCTTAATATTTCAAAGTATAGAAAAATAGATGGAAAATTAACTCTCAGTATCTTTTCAGGAGGAGGATAGCATGACAAATCCCAGTGTGAAAGTTTCAGTTACTTGGTGTTTCCTCTTTTCAGCAGCCGGCGAGAGGAAACGCAGATCACGGCAACGATGTTGCTCCATGCCAGTAAGTGTAGGATGCCATGGCAGGAAAGCAGCCCAAGGAGAAAAATCCCTCTGGGGTATGCATAGCCAGTGGTCCCCTCTCATACACCCAGGGATTTTGCGTGCTGTTTTTTTGCACCGCAGCAGCTGCTATCCCCAGGCACCGTCCGTGGGTCACACAGGAGGTGAACACCCGCATCCCCCACGGGAGGGCCTGGGTGTGTGCAGGTGCCCAGCTTTTGCAAACTGCCATACTGGGTGCTGGCCTTCGTTTAACGAACCTCTCGTTTAACAAACCAGGGCCGTGTACCCAGACTGAATTTCAGCTTGGTTGTGCCCCTTCTCCGGCTGCTTCACCCCAGGTTGTTGAATTTGTGTGCCTGGGACGCACAGCAAGCCCCTGGCCAGCAGCTTCCCGCGTACCTGCTGCGGCAGCAGTGTCCCCAGAGCTGTCGGGGTCTGGCGTGCCTGGGCGGTTGTGGCTGTGGGGAGCTGGCTGGGCTGCAGCCACCGTGCAGGCTCCGTGTCTGTCCTGGGTCAGACCCGATCAGCTGTGCTCTCAACTGTGGCAGGCAGAGCCGGGGCCACTGGCAGAGAATGACCATGCAGGAGGTGTGGGCAGCAGGACTGAGTGAATGAGGAGCGTCCAGGGACGAGTGGAAGGAAGCCAGTACCTGCTTTGGAGTTCAGAAATGGTACCGATGCTCTGCCCAGCCCGCCCAAAACAGTGCCGGTACTGTGATCGGCTGTCCCGGCAGCACGCCCACGCCGCAGGCAGGCAGCCAGGTGCTGCTCCCGCAGCACAGCGGGCATCCGCCTGTGGTGTCAGCTCCTGCCACAGGACCCCGGTAGGCTGCTGTCGGGGGAACCGCTGGTGCAGCAGGACCCTACAGTGGGCAACGTTGCTCACTATGGCAGCGGGGAGCCCTCTGCAACACTGAGGTCTGCACAGTGCCATCCACCGAGGTGGATGCAATGTGCTTGGCTCCTTCCCACACCCTGGACGGGGCGCAGCTCTCCTGCAAGGAGTTCCCCTCTACCTGTTCCTCCCTCCCTGGCACACTCCCATTTTTAATCATGCTTTGGCACCATCCATCTCAGGCACATGCCAAGTGCCCTGCGTTCCCACCGGAAAATAAAAAGTAAGGACAGCAACAGGGGTGGGGGGGTGGGGGGAATAAAAAAAGGCTAGAGTGACTTCAGAAAAAAGCTATGTAGAGGAAAGGGAATGGCAAATGCTGCTGGTTAATTGAAGCTGTCCTCGTACAGAGAATCAATCTCCCTTTTCATCAAGCAGTAAGAGAAAAGAAAGCTGCTTGATACATCTTGTGATCAAGGAATTAAGCCATGCATCTCCAAAACTCGCAGGAAGAGAAGGAAGGCCGAGCTTGCTCAGTCAAAGCAGAAACCACATCCAGAGAAGAAAGAGTTTGCTTGAAGATAACTTTCTTTGATTAGTAAGAATTACCATTCCAAAACATTTTTTCAGTAATGTTTCACCTGACATTTTGCCACTGTGTGTGTGTATGTGTATATATGTACATGGAAAAAAATAAATTAGAAAAAATAGACTATTCATTTGTGCTATTTCTTTATACACGTGATACGGGCATAGTTTCTGTCATGCCGTTGTAGCTTGGGAGCGATCCATGGACGTGGTTTTCTGGTAGAGCAGCACTTTCCCATGAAGAACTGGCACAGCTCTACTGTCATCCTGCACAGAGGCAATGAACCTCGCCAGCCAGGAGACATTGCTGATCTAGGTGAATGTGCTGGTTTTGGCTGGGGTAGAGCTAATTTTCAGGAAAACAATTTGGGGCTTCCCTTTACATCTGGGGGCAATGCGGTTTCGTTCTAACCTCAATGCCCGGCTGAGGTTTGTTTGTGAACATCTGGGAGCTCCGTGGATGGGAGAATTGGCACCTGTGCTTCAAACCTGCTGAAAGCTGTTGTTCGTTTAGCTGTTGTCTGAGCGTGTGAATGTGGAGCTGTTTGCTTCATAGAGGTGGCTGAGCGAAGCAAACAGTGAAGTACATATAGAAATTAAGTTTCAGTGCTGAGACTGTGTTAATTTTTCACAAAGAAAAGTGTTCTGCTCAAGCGGTGCAGAGTATCAAGCGATGGGGTATTTCTTGTGTTGTGTTTATCTTCCGGTTACAGTAATTGTCTGAACTGTTGTTGTATGGGCTAATATTAAGTGCAATTTTCTGTGATTACCATAGCTTCTGTGATGGAAATGTTTTACTGGACAGCATACTTAACAACTTGTCATTTCACCTGCTATTAAAATCATAAATTGTTTTACGATAGCAATGTTAACCAGCAATGCTTCTGAAAAGGATAATAAATAACTACCTGTCTCTGATATACTAAGGGGAATGTGATCAGCGAGTAATGTCCTGAGTTGAAACAAATATGTTTAATAGAAAGCTTTAAATACAACAGGTGTTTTGCATTTTTAAAGAATTTTTTCTTTGTTTATGTCGAGGTGTTTACATTCCCTGGAAGAGTGAAATGCATTTAACCAACAATGTGTCTCTTCTCTCTTAGATTACAGAAGTTTGTGGAGCCAAGCGTGTGGGTTATTTTGGTCCTGCTCAATTTTATATTGCTTTAAAGTTAATTGCGGCAGCGCAGTCAGGGTTCCCAGTACGGATTGAGAGCATTAAGAATGGTAAGTAGCAAATTTTGCTTGCAGCGCTATGCGCTTGTTTTTCACTTTCTTTAATGCTTGTCAGCTCTCCGTGGTGGTAAACTTTTCTTCTGACGTGTCTATGAAACAATTGTATTTTGAGGAGCAGAGAGAGAGTAGAAGGTAATGCTGCATTCTCTAAGTGACTGCTAAAAAAATTGCAGTGAATTACATGTACGGCAAAGCTGAGATGACATCCCCCTCTGGAAGAGGCATTACCAAAGGAATGGCACGAATGACAGCTGATCAGGGCTAGGGATGCATTTCTCTCTCACCTTCAGCCTCTAATCTTGACAGCTGTGCAGAGTGGGAGCTGATCGCTGCTTCAGGTGGAGGCATGTTGCAGGGGGTGTGGGCAGGTCAGGGGTCCCCCTGTGCAGGGCAGCTTGCAACACTCATCTGTTTTTAGCAAATAATCCTGCTGAAGTAAATGGGTAATGGTGACAAAATCATAATGCTTCCTATCAGTAGGTATGAAAAAGTGTATTAGATGTAATTTAAAACAGCTTTGTTCTTCCCAATGAATTGACAGGAATATCAAATGTACCATTTTTGATGGAGAAAAATGCTTCTTAAAAGAAGCTTATCAAACTCAAGCGATGAAGAGAGAAAGCAGGTCCCTTTTAGCTGTGAAACCTTGATAGCGACTAAATGGAAGGAACTTGATGTTCTTGCCTTGGTGATGCACGCTCTGCCTTGGTGATGCAGGGCTCAGGCTTCAAAACACGTGGCTTTTCACTTGGGCTTGAGCCTGAACAGGTTTGAACCCTTAGCTCCCATATCCCAGGCGGGCGTTTGAACTGTGCCATGAGGGCATGCTCTGGGCAAGAGTGCTTGCCACCATCCCACTGAAGGCAGCGATGCAACCAGCCACGAGATCAGAGAGGAGGTAGGAGAGGCGGGACCTACCCGCAGCCTCGCAATCGGGTCACTGCTCCCAGGGCAGTTTCTGCTCTGCTGTCCCTGCTGAGGGCAACAAAATGTAAAATTCACCTATGTTACAAGGCACAGGGAGGGGGTTCCTAGGTCTGCCCCATCCCGGGAGGGGGAGCCGGGCTGGCAAGCATGTGCAGACCTGTGCGGGCTGAGCTCCTGCGGTGCAGAGCTCCTGACCAAGTGGCGGGGATCAGATGTAGCCGGCACGGTTTGGTTCGGTGCCTCGCTGGCAGGGGAGTTCAAACCAGGGGTGAAGCAGGGTGGCCTCAATTTGTCTGTCAGTTTTCTTTACAGACAGCTTGTGCGTTCTCTTTTGCATTGCTGTCCTTTTTAAGGATGTTAATTTGGAGGGGGGGGGGAAACCAACAAAAAACCAGCAAAACCCAACAAACTGAATTAGAAACCTGAACTAAGTGACATTTACTGTGGATGTTTTACAAGTCCAGCATGTGCAAATAATCCACAAATTCGAGTGAAGAAGGGTACTTGCAGTCCTTGTATTGATAACCTGCTTACTTACTGTTACTGAAATGCTACCAGTGTTAATTACATTTTATCTTGGAAATGTATGAGTGCCTTTAGAGTGGGGTTAGTAACGTGCACCAAACTCCGATTGATTTCTTTTTCTTCTTGGTCACAGCTGTAGGTGTAAATGATTACAGAGGTGATGTATGGCTTTGCTCTGTTTTGAGCATTCTGTTAATTTTAGTTGTATTGACCTTTCAGGGTGGCTGTGCACAAAAATAAATGGTGTTTCTTCAAAATAATTGTGAATCGTCTTAAAGGGTGACAAAGTGTCACTCTTCTGCTCTGCAGAGCAGACACGACATGGGACCTTTTGACACGGTCGTCTCACCAGGCCTTGGCGTGATCTCTGAACCCTACCATTTTAATTTGTTCCTTTCATGATGGCAGCATTGAGGATACTGTGATCCCGACTGATTAATTCATCAGTCCTACAGTTTCTGTGGGAAGCTATTCTTTTCATTACAGACAACGTTTTGAAGGCAGGAAATGAGTTTGCTGCTTGCTTTAATAACTCGCACAAGCCTTATTTCTTTTTCTTCGCATGGAGAGATGATATATTAAGCTAGTGAACGTAGCTTTGAGTAACATTCACATTTTTATTAAGACATAAAATAATCACAAGAGTTCCACACTTATGAATGTTACAAAATATAAATAGTACTCTTTTATAGATAAACTTTTCATTGGTTTTACAAGATAATACTACTTAAAGCACTTTTAATGTTCTGTAGTCTCAATTGAATTTTTCTGTCTTTTAATGAAGAATTGCCTCTGCCGCGGTTTATGGCGCTGAAAAATGACAGTGAAGTACGTTACGGGACTCCAGCAGAACTCCATGGAGTTAAATTTCAGGTTCCACATGCAACTTTGGAAAAAAATTCCTACAAAAGAACAGATGAAGGGGACAAACAGGTAACAGGCCCGTCTCCCTCAGGCCAGTATGTCGTTATGCATCTTCCTTTTGGGTCCAGTCCTGTAAATGATTACACTCACATGGGCTTACTCAGTTTTGCAGTACTAGACGGGAGGTGAACTCCTGACATGCAAATAATCCCCATCGGGGTTGTGCTCTGATTTTGATGCATCCCAGTTGCATCCCTGAAGGGAATTTCTCTATATGAGTCTGTATAAAGCTGTCAGCCCTGTGATATTCTCTGTAAGTTCTTTCAGTGTTGTCCTCCTGTTTAGTCCAGCGCTGTTTCTTGGAGAGGACTAGAGGAAGAGCAGCAAACAGAAATCTGTCTGTGAAACAGAGCAGGAAAGTGAGCGATTTCTCATGGCTAGTGTGGTCCTTAGTCACTACAGAAATATTCAGTTGGAGAAGAGGGGTTGAATCACGAGCCACTATTTCTGGGTGGGATGAGGCCACCAGGTTTTCTTCCATTCTAGTCTCCCCCAGGAGTAGTCCAGAAGAAATCTGCTTTTCTTTTGTCCTCAGTGAAACATCATCCCAGCGTCTGTTGTTCTGAGTTGCCCATTTAATAAAGCTGTCTAAGGGAGATTTGTATTACCTGTATTTAGGAGAGTTGAGAGTGCTTATTTCAGATACAAGTGGCTTCACAGCACAACCTTGATTTTCATAATTTTCCCCAGGCCTGACACCTTCTCTTCTGGTACCATATCATGTCATGTTGTAAATGCCTGGTGGCAGGCGCTTTATTGTCCTATAACGCGTGCACACGTTTATCACACGGTGCATTGGCGTGAGTAACGGCATTCCCAGCCTGAGGTCAACCAACGGGAATGAGCTGATGACAGGATACATGGGTGGAATAACAGGATGAGGAAGAAGAGCATGTATGCCTATCTGCCTCTGTGTAGTGACACTGAAGCAGAATGCTGCCCTCAAACCCCTGGCTCCATCTAGGCTATCTGTATTGTGTTATATTTTCCCTTTTACACAGTAAACTGTTTCAGGATCACATCCTCTTCTTAAACAATCTGTAAGTCAAGGTAAAGAGAATGCTGTAGGATAGATACCCAGTGACACCTACAAATCCACAGAGTGCTTAAAGTACCAATTCAGAGATTTATTTTAATTGTTTGTGTTTTATATGAAAAATGCTCTCCCACAAAGAATGCAGTCACCCTAACTAAATGTGTTATGTAAATTCAAAGATACCCACTCACATTAAGCATTCCACATACACTTCTTCAGCATCTTTTGGAAGTAAAATACCTTCAGCTGTTCATTGTAAAGCTCTGCTATGGCATTGCCATGCCTTACCTCTAGAAGGCTCAATACCAAATTCTGTCTTTACCAGCTTTTGTTTTTTAAGGAGCCTTTTCTTGGAAATAAAGGGCCGCAGGGAACTACAGCGTTTGCCTTTTCTTTGTCCATCCTACTATGCGTTCAGATTGCCATGCAGGATTACTTCGTTGTTTTGCTGTCGTCTCAGAATTCCATTTTGTGTTGGTGTGTTTTTGAAATAGGAACCCAAGTCTCCACCGATGTCTCCAATCTGCTCGCCTCCTGCTTCTCCATCTACTTACCAGAGAATACCCTTAAGTTATGGATACGGTAAATCAAGAAGTGGGCTGGAGCAGCAGCATGGAGGTAGGATAAAAATTGGAATGGGCATATTGTATTCAATTCTTTTTTTTTTTTTTTCTTCTCAGCAGCATCCAAATTTCAAATGCAACTGACAATCAACCTAATAATTTTAACATTTAATTAGACCTGTATTTTGGAAAACGATTCAATCATCTAATTCTATTTTGATTGTTCAATGCTGTTCGCTTTCTGGTAAATTAATTAGATTTATGTGTCGCTGCTCACAGATAAATGCTAATACCTAATCTCTGACAAGAACTATGTGCAATATAGCCCAGTGACAGAGTGTGAGTATTTTTAGAGTGCATGATGCTTTTGGTTTCATTAGAGGGGAAGAAAAGCCCAGTCCTGATTTCAGTAGCTGCTATATTAGTTTTCAGATTGGCAGTGAACCTTCCTTTGCAGGAAAGGATAATAATCTCTCTGGTTTCATAATGGAAAGAACAATAGGACATGAATATAAAAACAGTCCCACAATGTAACTTAGGCAAAACAGACAAAAATAAGGCACTACGTAGATGCTCTGTCCTTGATCTCACTACCATTAGAGTAGGTGGCAAAACGCCTTTAGTAAGAGGGTAGTGGGGCAGAAGCCAGTTTTACTAAGGCTTTACAAGCTCCCGTTAACCCTTAGTAAGTTGCCTGTGCTCTCCTAATTACAACATCTGGTGACCAAGATGGTGGCAATAGTAGGCATTGGCGTATACCATCCCTCCATCATCCCTCCTGCTTTCAGTTAGTGTGTTTGCAGTGAGTGAGGAGTGGAGCTTGCTAGTCCTTCAGCTGTTGTCCTCGTTTACAAATGAATGAAAAAACAGAGCTGTTACAACATTTTGAAACTCACTACAGCCATGGTAAGAATGTGTTCATCCTATCAAGTGGCCTTCACGTGAAAATCGTACCAGTACTGAGTCACAGGCATTCATTTTCCAGTTAGCTAAACTGCTGTTTGTTCAGAGATGGGATTTTTCCCCACCTGACCCTTGGCAGAACTGATAAAAACAGTGATGGTTGACTTCCGAAATAAGCAACACTAGCGAGTTTGTCTTCTGGTACGACGCACGTTCTGCTCCGGTGAAGAAGACATGTGGCAGATAGCCCACACGCTGAAGAGCCGGGCAGGAGGTGACCATTGGGAGCAGCCGACCGTGTTGCATGTTGTGCGCTCTGCTGCTTTCTGGGACTCTGTCCCAGATCTGTCAGTGCTGGGGGGGGGGAGGTATTTTGGGTGTTGGGTTTTTTTTCCTCTGAATTTGGTTGCAATCATAACTTCAGTGAAAATTCTCATGGCATCAGCGGCATGCAAAGTGAGTAGAGGCAGCGGCGTCCAATCCAGCTGTCAACTTCTTCTAAAATTAATTATTCAACTGCTTGAATTTTTAAGGTGATAAAATCCTAGAGGTGTAGAACACTATGTTTATTTTCCAGAAAGGGAATCTCTCCTATTTTAATCCCACTGGGGGTACTTCAGCCAAGTGTGTTCTCAGTGGCAGTAAGCGGGTAACATTTTATGGCCCATGCTGTAGCAAGCGCCAGGCTAGGTGACCCGCTGGTTCTTCCTGGCCTTTAAGATTAGGACCCTTCCACTTTCCTGAAGAGCAGTCGAAAGGGTGGGTCTGAAAGCCACCGCGTTAGTGTATGCGCAGGAGGTGCTAGTACCACAGCGCTGAGCTGGGTGGGCTGTTCTGTACTCCAAGTCTGACCCTGAAACGGGACAGTGTGTCTTCAAGGGCAGCCCTTCGCACTGCAACCGTGACTATGTACTCTTTTTTTTTTCTTGATAGTTTTGGAAGTTTTTCTTGGTAGCAAACGCATAGCAGAGTGGCCTTGTGCTTAAATCTCCTCTCCAAGGGCATCTGTATGTTTCCCAACTTCCTTCCTGTGTGGTGTTCCCCCCCCGCCCCAAAATTAGAAGTTACTTGTACAGGCATAAAAATAGATACCAATACAGGATAAGGCCACTCAGGAAAGCAAGGGTGATAGGGCTATGATTCTTAAGGTCTTCCTGAGCTCAAAATTTTTAAGATTTCTTGGTCTCGCTTTTCATCGAGTCTTTTAAGTTCTGTCTATCTAATGCAGACTGTCTTTGTAGTGGTACATTTTAAATAGGCTGGCAGCAGAAGTTTTCAGCTCTGTAAGAGTTTGCGAATGAGTTGCCTTTGTGTTTGCATACTTGACCTATTTTTAAAACATTGTTCTTAAACAAGCTGTTATGTCACCGCTTACTATATTTGCTGCAGTGGAACGTAAGTGACTTATTTTAGCAAAAGAAGAAGTAATTGTTACTTTTCTTTACTAGCTTTACTGCAAATAATGTGAAGTGGTGAGTCGTGTATTTTGATTTTCAACAGAAATTAGGGAAGGGGTAAGAAGACTATATGGAAAATTAGTGATGTACTGTTTGATAGCATTGTCAAAGCATATTTTTTTGCAGCTCAGTTGAATTATATCTTCTTATTTGTAATGCCTTCTTGTGCTATATGTGGCTGTAAGTATAAAAAAATGTATACAGATATAAATAGGCTTCTTAAATATGTATTTCAACATGATGAACAATGATTTCGGTATCTAGTAATATATAACTGACAGTTACTATCAGTAATGTCTGAAGAAGAATGATGTAATGTGAAAGACAAGTATGTGGCTGGAATTTTGTTGCAGAAGACAAAATGGACTTTGATACTGTGATACTAGGTTCACAAGCTAGATTCTCGACCTTGTGGTATTTAATTATTTCCTTTAGCCTAATAGAATCTTTTTGATTATCCTTTCATTTATATACTATTTTATACTATTATATTATTAAAATTTACTATTTTAAATGTCTGTAGCTCCTTATGAAGTCAGACACTCTACTCACCAGCAAGATGGACCATCATCAGGGAATTATGGAGCCAAACCTGCACACTGTTCAACTCTTAATCGGGTAATGAATTTTGTTTTTCTTTAGTAGTACTATTAATAAAACAATAGTGAAATTAAAAAAAAAAGGCAGAAGAATTCTCACTTCAAAAGTGAAGTGTTCTCCATGGTGTTTTCAGACTAGAGGCTGAAGTGTGCTTTTTTAGTATATGAAAAAGAAAAAAACAAAGCTGATGGGAAGGAGAAATTAAAATAAATAATCCAATTAATTAAATTGCTGAAGCTAAGTAGAATGAGAAGGACCAAATAGCATAGATAGGAAAACTAGACTGAGAATCTTCAGTTCAAAAGTAAAAAAAAAAATTGAGGTTATCCTAGCAAAAATAAAACATTTTAATTTAAAATAGATGAGGTTTCACAGAGATTCCTGCTTGATTTAGAATGCCACCTATAACACATGCACAGAATTTATGACCTAATATTCTGCGTATTCTGTTTTTATTCCTCAGTTGGTTAAATCGCATCTCAAACAGAATAAATGAATTTCTGGATATTTGTTTGCTTTTATGAGATGGGTCCTATGTTTTCCTGCTGGTTGCAAAAGCAGATCTTTCCGATGTTCCAGTATGCCTGCTGTGCAGTGACTATGCAAACAGGTAGTTTGCCCTATGGAAGGACAAAGCTCTCCTAAGGGAGAGCGTTTCCTAGATAAATAAGACTCAAAGACTCTGTCCCTTTTCCCTAGTGCTAGGGAAGTGCTACCACCCCACAGCCATAATAAAATGTCACCTGAGCCTCGGGAAAAGATCTACAGGTAGTGTCACATAATTTGTGCTAACTTGAAATGAAATTGGGTGCATTTGTGTAGCACTCTGCAATGAAAATTAATTTACTGCTTTATGATGTTGCCTGTTTCGGGGATCTCGATGTATTTCAGAACCGGTGTTTTGCGTTTGAGTCTTAGGAAATGGACAGGTAGGTCAGAGAAAGGGTTGCGGGGCTGGTTGGAGCCTGATTATTGTTCATTCAAAGCCCTCCCTCTTTAAGAGTGTTGTCATCCAGGCTTAAATCTTGAATACTAAGTCATTCCAGTTTAACAAAGGCACAAATTGTACCGGCAGCCCGCTTCTAGACACCACCACCCAACCTCCCTTAAACAAGTCAATCAGAAAGCAAAGACATAAATGGATAAAATGTCCTTCTCCTCCGGAATATTTTTTTTTCTGAAGGAGAATTTTTACCTAAACCATGGGAAGTGACAGAAGGTTGAGGAGGTCTGCAGGGGTTTGCATGTCTCCCTGGCTCGGCATAATGTGTGCAGAGTCACCTGGGTGAGCGGGGGGTCCAGAAGCAGTATAGCTCCGTAGTTACAGCACCACTCCTAGACTGTATTTAGGAGTATGTATTTACATAGTTTCTTAGCAGAGCTAAATTTTCACGCACCCTGCTGCATAAATACAGCTTTAGGTCCTTCACTGGTTCCATCCGTTTCAGGTGTACAGTATGCAAGTTCAGGGTTGTAATGCATGGCAGCCAAAATGAACCCCCAAAGTGAATCCAGAGGTAGTGAGATGTGACTTGGACTTTCTTTTTTGCGGTCAGCAGTAGTAAGATTTCCTTTTTCTTTAAGCTTCAGTCATGTAAACTTCCTTTAATTGCCTGGTTAAAGATACCTAATATTAGCCTCAGCTTTAACAGATAAGAAGCGGGACGGTAATCAGGGTGGCCATTTCTGCTTCTCATCTTTTTAAAACACGTGTCTGCTAATAGAAGAGAGTGAATCTGGTTTCTTGAGGTTGCCAGTGCCCTGCTTGACCCTTCTGGCCCCTGCCTGCGGCCGGTGCCAGTGTCCCTCCCTTCAGTCTCTTTCAGCGGAGCGGGAGCAGCAGGACAGCAGCGCCCACTACTCGGATGACCCTTGGAGGATAACGGAGGAGCAGCGAGACTACTACATCAACCAGTTCAGGTCCCTGCAGCCCGACCTGAACTCCTTTATTTCAGGTAACTTTTACCAAACACTGTGCATGTTGAGTAGAGGGGACCAGGCTGAGAGGTGAGAAGTGTTAAGTAGATAGATTAATTCTTTTTTCTCTCTGGAGTGAGTTTATGAGAAAGAGTTGATTGTGTCTTCTTTTTAAAGGCAGACAACTCAAAGAGCAAACCAATACTGTGGCCATTATGTTTTTTCCTAAACATCCTGATTTTAGAAAAATAATTACATTTGAGGGAGAAGTGTTGGCAATTCAGTAAAAATTAAAATGAGCTCTCTGTATTTGATCCACTATATTTGTGAATCACACCTGCAGTGTATATTGAGCTAAGTAACCTCTTAGGGTTGTGCTTGCTTTCCCAGCACAAATGTGGCAGCATCCGTGTGGTGAAAGTGAAGTGTACAGTTAACTATCTTGTGTGGTCAAGCCTGAGTGTTTATGGCTCTGAGGGACTGAGATTTTGACCTTTAGGCGATTAAAAGCAAAGCCTGGAGAGCACACACATGGTAAAAGCATTGTTAACAGCGTATTGAGATTGCGTTTCCATCCTGAATAGGAGGATCAGGCTGCTCGGGGGAGGAGTCACTGCAGGTACAGACAGTTGGTCTGGCAAGGAAGACATCACAGGTTTTAAAATGAGACAGCTTTACTGAGCCCTGCTGTATTACTGGGGTTCAGGAGCCTTGGATCCAGCCAAAAGTTTAAATAAATTACCTGCTATTGACAGAAATTAGTGCTTCACCAGTTCTTTGCCTCAGTTAAGTTTCCTTCATATAATTTACTTGAAAGAGAAAATGGTTGTTCAACAACAGTGTATTTCCTCACAGACTTATATATATCTGTAACTGTGTATGTATGTATATATGCATATACAACCTCTCAGGTAGCAGTGCATTTTCATTTATGTTGAGCAAGATTCTCAGGCAGTCCTTGCACATCCAAAATTACTGTTTATAAACAATAAATTTGAGCTTCCACAACATCCTAAAATAGTTAAGCTGTAGAAATCCTTGCTGCAGGGTGATACAGATGCTAGAGGTTTGTCCAGGTTTAAGAAGTTATTTGAGAAATCTGTGATTGAAAAACCTGTCAGAAGTTACTGAATATTGAAGTGCTGCTGGTTGAGAAAGTTCCTGAATCGCAGGTGGTCAGAGGTTGGGGATATTCTGGAGCTACGTTATTATCACGTGGCTTTGTCATGGTCACATAGTCCTCTCTGGGCATCCAGTGTTGCAGAGGACATGCTGTGCTAGGTGAGTCTTGGACCTGCCCCAGTTATGGCTTTTCTTATGCCCTGCAGTGGGTGATCTGACCTGAATGCGCAAGGAGAAGAGTGGTGTAGACCTTAGAAGTCTCTGAATTACGTTGCCTTACGTTTTGTAAGCCTATATGCAGGAAGGGCTTCCAGGGTACAGGGATCTTGTGCTACCCCTATAGTCTGTCTGTATGGGATGGTGAAATAATGGGTTTATTAGCTAGGAGAAGAATGAGAAGGGCTGTTGTGGCAGGATGAGTGAGAATGCCTGCAGCAGGACAGTAGCTGTGTGCTATCTGAATCTCCTGGGGTTTTTTTCCCTTTTTTTTTTTTCTTCCCATAAAATTTGAGCCACTGCAGGGAAAAGTCATGGTTGAAGCAGCATCTTGGGAGAGCAGTGCAGACGCTACAGCGCCGTACTGCCATACACATGGCTTCTGGGTGAAGCAGAGCCGTTTGTGTCTGTTATTTCATCACTGGTGACATACTAATTACACTGGTCAGAATCACTAGTACTAAAGTGATTTTTTTCCTTTATTTATTTTTCCCATATGGAGGGAATGGGGAAATGAGGTCAACAGCTCTGTCTGGCTTTCTTTGTCACTTATTCAGCAAGAGACAAATGGTCCAACAGCTATATTAGCATCCAGTTAATCTGAGTGTCTCTCGGATGTAAAGTAACCAGCTGCTTCTGGTGCGGCAGCCCTGGCCAAAGGTAAATAACTGGAGAATTAATTTCCAATGGTTGATAAGGCACGGTTTCCCAACAGGTTCCGTGGCAAAGAATTTCTTCACAAAATCAAAGCTGCCCATCCCAGAGCTTTCTCACATCTGGTAAGTACTGTAATAGTGTTGGGGATGTGTATCCTGTTTTTTTAAAAGACGCTTAATTCAAGAGTTCTTGTTAAATTTTAAAAAGTGTCTTCAATTATAATTATTGCTCTTATCTCCAGAATCACTTTCAGGCCCAAGCAGCAGGGTGCTCATTGCTCTTCCTGACACGCTTGTTTTCCGGAGAGATGTTCGCCTACTCAGCAGGACTGGGAAGGTTTGAACAGCGATATAACTGAGAGCTGTTCTTAAGTATATTGTAAGCAGCATCATTAGCTCAACAAACTGACATTTTTCATGAACTGACACACAGGAGAAGCACCTCTGGAATGTTTTAGATGTGTTGTTGGTTTTATGTTTCTGGCTGTGTTTTGCCAGAGGAGGCCTAATTAATGCCTAATTTTTAGTAAGTACAACTACATAATTCATCAGTGCTTTTCTAATGAACCAGTACACTTACTTTTAATGAGCTTATTTAGAAATGATTGTGGATGGAACTGTACATGATAAAATTTGACAAGGATTCTATTGTATTTTCATAAACAACATGGTGCTTTGTAGTTCAGTGTCATCCTTGCATCTGGGATAAGAAGAACAGACAGTTTTAAACGTTGATCAGAAATGCTGATAGAGGTTTTACTTTTGTATATGCTTTTATGAAGAGAGATGAGAAGAAACGCTTGCAAGAGCCTAAACATCTGTCGGGGTCAAAGAATATGTCTGGAATCTTTTCAAAGCGGACTGTCAGTTGTGAAAATAAAAAAAAAAAAAAAAATTGAAGGAAACATAGTGTTGGGGGAAGTGAATATTGGAATTTAAGATTACTTAAGAAGAATGGATTAACCCAATATGTTAACAAAACACATTTTATTTCTATTGTTGACACAAGTTGTCCTCTGTGTAAAATTTAAAGAAAAGTATTCCTTTCTAGTAGATAATTACAAGTTTGTGATGATGTGATTTATCAGGTTGTGTTGCTGTGTTAAACACGTGGGATGTTTCAGTCTTTGTCACTATAACCTCAACAGCTTGAAAAATGCTCATTACTTTCAAAGAGTAGGAAGTTATATGTTTGTGTTAGTCCATGTGCTCATGATAAAACATTACTCAATTCTGGCAAAGAGTTAGTTTATAAAATTGAATTCTTGAATTTCTGAAGTCCAGTTTTACTGTTTGAGAAGCATCCTAGAATTAGAGAGAACTGCTTTAGTGAGAAGTTCACAATAACATTTAAACTTGTCAAGAGCATTAATTTAGCTCTTTTCTTGAGGCTAGTCAATGGTGCTAAGTAACCATTGCTGAAGTCCGTTTTTAACTTTTTCTGCTTGAACTGGTTTAAGATCCTGCATTGGATTGGCCAGAAGTGCTTCCAACCACTGGAAAATTAATTTCACCCTTGGAAGTACAGGATATGTATTTCATGTTATAATATATACATACCATCATATTGTATGGTACAATGTATCTCAAAAAACGTACTTTATTAAAAAAGAAAAAAAGCGGTAAGTCAGTACTAGAAAACTAGCTTGCTTCATTTTCCCCAAGACAAATGTCCAAGTTAGGATCAAGTGCAAATGACAGAGATGCTTGTCTTGCATTAAAATACCCCTTCTCAAAGTTGCATTCCTGTCTCCCCCATGATTGCACACATATGTTTCCCTGAGGTAGTGACTTGGAAAATGTGTGCCTGTCTTACCCACAGGGAACTGAGCGATGTGGATTGCGACGGGGCGCTGACACTCCCGGAGTTTTGTGCCGCTTTCCACCTTGTAGTTGCGAGGAAGAATGGTTACCAGCTGCCAGAGACGCTGCCGGAGACGCTGCTGCCCGAGTACCTTCAAGCAGGTAATGTCCCTGCGGCAGGTCTTGTTCCTGTAGCCGTCTCAGGAACCCAGCGTCCATGTAAGACATGTTTCATTTTCCATCCTGCAGGTAGGACGGGTTTCTACGCTGCGTAATGGCTCTCCGGTTGCTTTTTAATGCATGAGTTTTTAATTGTGCTTACAAAGCAATTGCTGAAGAAGGAATTGTATAAAAGCACAAAATAGTGATGCAAAGTGTAGCAGTTACCTACCTCCTAATGTCTGCCTCTTTGCTCCAGTGTGCTTCAGGTGTCATTATAGCTAAAGTGGCAGATGATTACCTGTAGCAAAGATAAACCAACAAGACTTACATAGTTTTTAACTCTTTTGATGATTTTTCCCTTAAGTATCTTGCCTCTTGAAGCTGTGTTGAAAACAATACTGGACTGCTTTAGAACTTACTATGCTAATATATTTTGTTAGATGCAGTTACTGGTTGTATCAAAGGTGGAATTTTTTTGTAATCCACAGATTCTTCTTTAAGTAATTTGCAGTAACGATACAACAGTTTGCGTATCACAAGGATAAATTAATCCAAAATACAACATACCTCAGTATCAATGTGCGGTGAGAGACCTGCCCTTCCATTTGTTCTCTTCAGTTATGTCTCCTGTAATTATAAATGAACATTGAAATATAAACTGTTCCATCTAAAAAATGTGCATGTCTTTCTAGGGCAAGGAGGATTAATCATAGATCATAATTACAGTGCTAAGGGATAATATTTAAGACCTAATAAAATCTCCATTAAATTTGATGACACTGAATATATTAAAAGACAGGAAAAAAGCAAATCAAGCTGTAGTTAGGAAAATTAAATGTTCACCCTGTATCAGATTTGTGAAAATTTCTGGTGGAGTCGTGTTCCTTATCCACTATCTTCATATCCAAGGGGAGAAGCTCCTGTAAAACTTGCACCTCCAAGTCTTCATCACTTTTAGTCTCTCTAATTACATTCCCTTGTCATAATTACAACCACGCTTTTCCCTCCAGGACCACCACTTTGTTCGCTACTCTCATGCCTGTTCTCATCATAAATTAGCTTGTAAGCTCCTCCATGCAGGTTCTTGTTGGTGTGTCTTCACATTAAGGCTTTTTGGGGAAAACTGCAATGGAAATGGCTATCTCTAATAGTAAGGGATCATTACGTCAATGGGAGGAAGAGCATGGTAAGCTGTGGTTGTTCCCTGGGAGTCCTCTTTTTCCCGAATTTGTCCCTTTCAGCACTGGGGTCTCTACCATTTTCTTAGAAGATTATTGTTTCATGGTGTTGCACACAACCAAGCATTTCAAGCTGATCTACGTGGAGGAGGTGGAGGGACTAATTGTTTGTTGTGGGCACTCTAAATACCTCAGCTAATATGCTAATTCTGGTTAGCTTGAGGGTCTGAAAATGTCTCGTGCTTGTTGTGCTGCCTAGTCAGGATTCAGAAATCTGTCTTTTGAAAGACTTGCATTAATAAAAAGCAGAACATCTCAACACACTGTAACACCGTGAATCACAAGAAAGCATAGAGCCTTGGTTGTATCAACTTCCGAAATGAAAACATCGATAAGTAAGCAAGTGCCTCATACACTTACCTAAAATGTCAAAAGAAATTTCAAAATAAACTTTTTGTTTTCATAATTTGATTTCTGTGAAACTTAGATTTTTTTTTTTTTTTTTTTGGCTTGTTAGGAACCCGATGAAGATTACTGGAAACTGTTTTTCATTAGGTGGTTGTATTAGTTTCAGAATGAGGCAGAATTTGGTTCAAGTGAAATATTTGCATCTGATAAGAGTGTTAAAGCTTCAGATAAAGTGACTTGGAGCATAAGACAGAGCATTTAAGAATGAATTAATCTTGCTAGCTTTATGGCTTGTTCTATAAACTGCAAGCACAGGGCCAAATGCTATCCTGGCACAGCTCCATTGACAATTTGATCCGCCACCTTCTTTTCTGAAAGTTTTTATTAAAACTAATTTACAGAATCTGTAAGGCTATTTGCCCTGTATGTAACCCACTGTATTGTAAATTAAGACAGATTTGTAAGAGCTTAATTTATTCAGATAAACTAGATGCTAGCCAGAAACTAGAAATTTGACGTGAGAACTGGTTATTCTGCCTTTCAATATATTGATCTTAAAGAAAAGCTGTTTTCCAGCTGTTAAGACTGATTTATCTCAGAGGAACTAATCCCAGAGTGATATCAGTAGAAGGACCTGAGCTTGTGGAATAGAAATTAGGGTCTTGTGAATATTCCTGTGAGAAGTTAGAGTCCCGTCCCCCCCCCGGCTTTTTTTCTTCCTGCTCTCAATGCTGTTTAGTTAAAGATGGTATGTAATGCAGCATCTACTGTGTTTAGTGTCCTTGGTTTTTGCTGGCCTTCAAGTTCAGTGTATAATGTCGATTCTACTATACTTTTCGGTATTCAAAATGTCAAAAGTTGGAGTTGGAGGTTTGGTAAGTACCTTTAACATTCCTAAGACAGCAAGGTATAAACTATAAGGCCAACTAACTTGATACTGGACTGTGAGGAGGAAAAATGCAAATAAACGGTTGTTGTTTGGCAGTTAATGTTTACTAAAAATCACTTCTTCCAAATTTCACCATTATTTCTACAACAGAAATTAACGTTATCCCTTTCGTAACATTGAATTACTCAAAATACAAGACAAGGATTTTCTTCATGGTGTTTGTCATTCGTGGCTTATAGATCAGCTCTGATATGTAGAAACGAAGGGTAATATGATGCTGGAACAGGTTTTTAAGAACTGTGTATTAACCAAAGACTTGGCATGTCTCCTTCCCCCCCACCCCCCCTGCAGCTTCTTTGAAGCCCATGCGTGACTGCGCACTATTTGATTCTTACTCTGAGTCGTTGCCAGGCGGTCAGCAGACTCGGGACTTCAGTCGGACTGAGGTAAGAAGGCATAAGCAGGGTAGTTACCTTGCAGAGTGCAGAGGAATAGCCCAGCTTCAGAATGACTGTGGTATGCGTAGCAGCAGAACTGCGAGTCTTTGAGAGGACTTCAGGAGTCTCTAAGTGTGCCATTAAGCCATCTCAGCCCCCTCTCTCAGCAATTCGTTCAGTGTGTGGAAAGGGCTGACAGGTTTTTCATAAGATATTCCCACGTAACAGAGTTCACAGTCGTCATTGAGGGACTCCAGCCTTGTGCGATGATGTCTGCAGAGAAATAGACCTTAGCTGTTCGTGTCCCACGGGGCTGCATTTGGCCCTCCGGCGTTGGGAGCCAGCGATGAGGGGCAGAGCCCATGCTGCAGGAGGGGCGGTGTGGTGCAAGGACAGTGCTCAGGTGAAATCTCTCCTGAACCTGAATTGGTTGAAAATGGCAGGCTTCGGGTGCAGACCTTGTTCTAGTCAGGCACTCCTGACCATGTAGCTCTTGAGTGTTTCTTCCATTTACAGTGCTCCACTTCCACACTCGCTCCCCCAGTTTTGATGATGAGAAGAAGAATGTCTTGGCCTGTCCTGATTCCTTGTACTTTGCTTCTTTGGGGACTGAAACTGTCCCAGATTTTGTACAGTATGGACATGCATAGTTCTGTTCTAAGTGATTCAGTCTCCATTTTAATATCCAGCCTTTTCATACTCTAAAGAACTACCATCTAGGGGTCTAGGTAGTAATTGTAAGGAGCCAGGAAGAGTGTTTTGAGGGAAGAATGGAGATCCGTTGTAGCAATACCACAACAGATACCAGCCTTGTAATGGAAGACTGTTGCAAGCAAAACTAAATTAAGGAGAAGAGTTTATCACTGAGCTTAAAACCCAAAACTTTAAAGATCCCGTAAAGCTGAACTAACCACGGCCACAGAGTTGTGCCTGGATATTGCGACTCTGAATACATACGCTGTGGGATTTAAGGATTTAGTATTTAAGGTAGTGAATCAACTGGCAGACAGGCTGCAAGAACGGGCCCTTCTGACGCTGCTTCCAAGTTAAAAAGTAATGGTATGTCATGGCAGCTCAGCAAGGCTGTTCTCCAGTTATTTCCTCCCTATGCCTTGCTCTGGGGAGTTCCTGGGTCAGAACCCAGCCGTTCCCTCATCAAATTCAGCTCGGTGGTAGCAGCACCACCAAACAGACTCTCCTAAGCTGCTACAGAGCGCAACGTTCGCTTTGGGCAATGCTGCAGCCAATGTTTTGAGCATCCCGTTTATCTTTTGGAGCTGTTAAAATATATGCAGTCTCCCTGGGTGGTATTGCTCTCTGTGCAGCAGCTTGGCCAAAGTACAGCAGTCATACTGGGTTTTGAAAGCAGCGCCGCTGTCCTGGTAGTGCGGGCTGCTGGTACATTGGCAGCGTAGGTAGGTCCTTTACCGTAGCAGAACGGTCTTGTCCCTTGCATATGGCCTTATTTCGGAAGGGGGGTTCGCAGGGGGCTGCGAGATTGTGCCACAGGCCACGCTGCACTGGCACTTCTTCACTGTGCGGTCATGTGGCAAAGCTCAACAGTCCCTTGAGAGTGTGCCTCATTAGCATACATGCATGTTGGTTTGCAATTTAAACAAGCATAAGAGGCAAAATTCAAGGTGATTTGCATTGAAAACTCATTTTCTGATGTCAGCATGTCTGTGTATGTACGTATATACATAGCTCCATTTCCAGACTGCAGTAAGAGTCAACTGAGTATTTGAGTTAACTTGATGCATCAGCTTAAGATACTCGATTTTAGAGAGAATTATTTGTCTTCTGCTTAAAAACTGTCACGTCCCTGTTAGGATGGGGGTTTTTTTGGCGGTAAGCAAAACCCCTGAGTGTCAGCTTCTCTTTTTCACTTGTGTTTTCACGTGCATGTACAAATACACATGTATATATTAAAAAAAAAAAAGAGATACAATATATAATTAAATTACATTAAAAATACATAATTATGTATCTTTTATACATATAATTAAAAAGCTTCAGTTTATGTAACTTCTTGACTTCAGAATCTACATCAGTATCTCTGTGGCCTAGGGAGCCCTTGTTTTTGTTAGGATACTGGCTTTGCAAGTGATTACCCAGATATGCAAAGTGGTCTTTGGTTATTGCAGAGTTGTGAGGAAGTTTGCTCTTTAGTAGCGCAGGCCTTGGGGCTGTGAGATTAGAACGTTCTTTTACATATTTCAGAAAGCTCAGAAATCTTGCTTTCAGAGTCATCTTGTGTTTCTTAGACATAAAATGTCATTTCAGTAACCTAACCATTACAATTTTATAATCTTATTAAATGTCTGTTTTTAGGCTCTTCTTGTTTGTGGTCCTTGAATGTATGTGCAGAGTAAGGATAAATCTAGAAGGAGATGATTTCCTAAGCAATTAAATTGTATGGTTTTTTGCTTTTTAGATTTTTCTGCTGCAGTGGAGATAATAGTAGGAATATTATAGTAATAATTAAATAGCTGTAGGGGGTATACAGCACAAAACGTAAAAAACCCAAACAAGCAACAAGTCCCCCATTTTAGGTTTAATTTTTAATTCGATTTTCAGCAGTTAAGCTTTCAGACCTCTTCTGCCTTATCTCTGCGCTCTCCTCCTTGAGACATTCTCACCATAACTGCTAATAACTTGCAGATTACTGTGCTGCCTTTGTAGTCAGATAATGTTCTTGGGGGAACAGTCGGATCTTCTGCTCCATTCCTAGGTTCTGCAAGGTGACAGGATGTTCTGCAAAATCAGGTTTGTTTTTTTTTATGGCTAGGTTGAAAACGAAGAAGAATCTGTGGCATGATTGACTGCTGGCTAAACACAGATAGTTTTACCTGACTATGTCACGATTGTTTGGCTGGTTTTGCTCCATTTCTTCACTGTCTGGGTCCTAGACATGCAGGGCAAAGCTCTCAATTGGTTTGTTTCAGGGCCTTGTTATTTTGGTCCTTTGTTATCCAAGATTAATGGACTATAAAATCTCTTCTCAAAACTGATTTGAGAATGATTTTTGCCTTGATTTTTTTTTTTGTTCAGCTGATGTTTTTATGTTTAGAATTAATACACTGAATGAGTATCATTTGGAAGGTCAGTAATTCATCTCCCATTCATCTCCCTCTGTGGGAAGTGCAGTAATTCACTGCTGCAATTTATTTGTAGCTTGGCTACTTGAGGAGATATAGTTTAGATACTTGATCACTACATTAAAAATATTATATTACCCATGCAATGAGTTACGCATTATCTCCATGTCTTTGTCTCTTTCCATGTCTTTGTCTCTTTCCACCTATCATCAATTCAGGCTGTTTAATTTAACTGCAGAAGACCATTTTTACTGTGCCTGCTGAACTACAGTACTGCAATGGAAACAGTTCTTGAATGCATCCATAAAGAAAATAATGGCAGGAGACAGGTCGCCTGAATGCTAGGCTTTGTTAAACTTACAAAACAGAAAGACTGCTAATGTTATGCTCGAGAATGACAAGGGTGACTGCTTGTTGTTAACCAAGGAGGTTTTGTCTTCCCATTTTTTTCTCTCAAGTTTTTGTCTCCCACTCTGGTTCTGGTCTGTCTTTTCCCTTTTTTTTTTTTTTTTTTTCTTTTCCATTCCTTTGGCTCTTTTCCACAAGCTTTCTTGCTGCCAAAAGCTTAAAGATAAGACATGAGATTTTGCGCTATATGCATAAAATGACTGGCTGGGGCTGCTCTAAACTCCCTCAGAAATGCTCACAGTTCATTGAAATTTGTGAGAGTCATTCCATTGATTCAAGCATGCACTGAATTAGGTCTTTAGTCTGATGCTCTTTAGAGTGTCAGGGCTAGCTAGGGATGTGAAGTGTTTTGTTCAAACATTTTCAGAGTCCTCAAGCCATATTTTTGCTATGTTGCTTCCTCAGAAGCATTAGGGAATCCCACGTGCAACTTTATAAAATAGATCTCATTGCCCTTTACTCTGGACTTGGCCTTCTTGAATTACTGACTTGAGATTTTCTTTGCTTTTTTTTTTTTTTAATGTCTGCAAAATCTATGTTTCTGAATTTTATTTTTTTTAGACCCAATGAATTCTAACCTCTTCCATGCTCCCTGGGAAGAAAACAGCATCACTTAATATTTAGGGAAGCTTGGGGTTTCTGACATGTGCTTTATTGTTGTTTTGGCTGCAGCATATATCCTTGTTCTTACAGATAATGGTAATAGAATTGGTTTCTGGTTCCTTCTTGTGAGCTATGCAGCAGAAGTTACAAGAACAACAAATGCCTACCTATATAGTATAAGTTGCTGCTGAAATAAAGAGAAGTTAAGGAATAAGGTTGGGGAGAAGTTCCCTGTTTTCCCATCAGAGGCCTGAACGGGCCTCCCGCAGACATGCTGATGAAATTTGTTTTTCCCATCTCAATGACTGCATGTTGAAAGAAAAGAGTAGTCCAAGGACCAGCCACCTCAGCCGGAAGACTTCAGATGCAGAACTACATGGCTCTGCAGTACGGCTTGAGTTTTGACTAGAGAGACTGTTCTGAGTGAGTCCTGATGAGGCTGCACCTCGAATACTGTGTTCAGTTTTGGGCCCCTCACTACAAGAAGGACGTTGAGGTGCTGGAGCGTGTCCAGAGAAGGGCAACGAGGCTGGTGAGGGGTCTGGAGAACAAGTCTTCTGAGGAGCGGCTGAGGGCACTGGGGTTGTTTAGCCTGGAGAAAAGGAGGCTGAGGGGAGACCTCATCGCAGGGGACACCCGTCGCTCTCTACAACTCCCTGAAAGGAGGTTGTAGCGAGGTGGGTGTCGGTCTCTTCTCCCAAGTAACTAGTGATAGGAC